AGGCGATCCGCCATTTTCTCCCCTCAGGGGGCGCCGCCGCACATGGGGGCGGCGCCCCCATGTGCGCGGCGCCGCGCATGCGCAGAACATTTGTGTGACGGGGGTCGCCGTCACACAAACGTTGAGAACCACTGTTATAGAGGGATCATATTGATCAATTAGAAAAATCTAATAAAATTAAAACATGTATTTGAGATGAATAAAATATCTTCTTTTTAGCGATCCTATTATATTTCTTCAGGCAATGTGTGATTAGGCACAGCTATAGAAGTAGCTATGCCTTTAAGTTTAAGTTGATTATGTCACTTTATGTTTAGATTTTAGATTATTTCATTATTGATGTTTAATTTTGGAACTGAAGGAATAATTATAAATATAAATAATACTTGACGTACAAGGACACAGATTGAAGGTTATCATCAATATTCAAAATTTTCACACAGTATTATTTCTTAAAACTGCTCTTAATAGGTATCAAAATGTTTTGAACATGTTTATTTTTTAGTTGTTTTATAAAACTGGCTATTTTTCAAGCCTTTCAATAATGCAGTTTTATATGTGTCTCTTTATAGCAAATGAATTTGTTCAACACACTGTCAGATTTCTCACGAGAATATATCCTAGAGGGATCCGAACCAATTCTTCTAATTATAATCCTCAGGAATTTTGGAATGTTGGGTGTCAGATGGGTAAGTGATTTAAGATTATTATTGTTACTTTTTGCTTATATTTTTTCTTCATATTGCATAGTAATTTAAATTTATTTAAATTACATTTCACTATTATGAAACAGTGCTAAGTATGAGACTTCTAGCATTCTTCTATAACTAACACAAATTCAAAAAAGGGAGGGAGGAAAGAAATCTGCATGTGGAAGAGGGCAAATTTGTGGATATAGAACATAGAATAATGGTTTTGGAAGGGACCTTGGAGGTCTTCTAGTCCAACCCCCTGCCCATGGCAGGAAATCCTATACCATTCCTGATAATGGCTGTCCAGTCTCTTCTTGAAAACCTCCAGTGAGGAAGCATCAACAAATTCCAGAGACAACTGATTAATTCCACTGATTAATTGTTCTCACTGCCAAAGGTTTCTCCTTAGTTCTAGGCTGGATCTGTCATTAAAGATCTTCCACCCATTATTTCTTATCCCGCCCTCAGGTGCCTTGGAAAATAAGTTGACTTCCTCTTCTCAATGACAGTCCCTCAAATACTGAAAAACTGCTATCATATTACTCCTATGATAAAACTGGAGAGTTTGCTAGCTTGTTCCACCTAAAATGAAATATAAGTGTTTAGAGTTTAGTTTTGCCTTCTAAGAAATGGCATAATTCTGCTCCCAGAATTGGGTTGTAACAAAAAATTGTAACAACTGTTGACAGACCTATAGTCAGTTTGAACATGTCTTGTATACAAAATTCCTGTTGAGTCCGTGGCGAGAAAATAGACACGAGAAGCAGCTGGAGTTCTCAGTTTCTTTTATTCAGCGTTCAGCTTACAGGAAGATGGCTTCAGCCTCGCCCAAACGCCTCGCAGCCTCTTATATAGGCAACTCCCGGGTAAATGGGTTACTTTTCCCGCGCCAGCACCCGCGCATGCGCACGGCGCTGGCGACAGCCTGTCTGGTCCCAGGGCAGCTTTGCACCTGCCCGGGACTGCCTGCAAACGCCCGAGCCGTTTGCAAGGCTCGGGACATAACACCCCTTTCCCCCGGGCTAAAACTACTACCAACATACAACATTTATTTTACACGACAATTTGCTCCCCAATGCGCCCACTGTTTACTGGCTTTTGCCTTGCCAGCAATGTTATGTAATCTTCTAGGTACTTAGGAGATTTCTTTGCTCTCTGTGACCTTCTTAGCTCTGGGTTACTGGCATAAGTTCCCCTGACTGGAGGGAGGCGTGAGCCTGTTCTCTCTATTGTGCCCTGGTGTCTTCCAAGGACTGTGCCCCGATGCCTGGCCTGCTTGCTTGCCCACCGGGCTCGTCAGGCCAGGGCTTCTGTTGCTTTGTGACCTGGTTGTCCTACCTAGCTGTAGACCCTCAGGCCCCTTGAAGTGATAGCCACTGCTGGGCGTCTCTGTAGAACCTCCTTGGTCAGTCCAAGACCTGTCAGGAGGCTGTCCCTTCCCTGAACCCCATTCTGTGCTCGGGCTCGTGTGGGTTTCTGTACTTTCCCAAAACTCAGGTGTTCCCTGATTTGTGCTAGGGGTGTTGTAGTCGGGACTTGGCTCCTCGACTAGCTCTGTGTATGTTTGACCCCCTGTAGGATTTGGGGTAAGGTCAGGCCAACCTTGGGAATTGTGTGCCAGCTCTCTTGCGGGGAATGATTTGTTGGGATGCCCCCGGGTATCCTCCGTTGCTGGAGTGCTGTGTGATGTGTGTGGAAAGTGAGTATGCCCCCGGGGTGACTCCCTGGCTGGAGTAGGCGTGAGTGCCTGTTGTGTGGGTAAGCTCCATGACTTTCTTTTTGGAGCAATTGCGGAACCCTGGGATGGGCCGTTTGTGGCTCCCTCAGTGGAGATGGGCAGTAGCTCTTGCCCTTCCCTTTGCTCCAAAGGGTCCCCCTCCCCCCCTGGAAAAGACCCAGGAGTCTCAGCAGAAAAGTCTCGCCTAGAGCGAAGTTGGTCGATGTGCCGACGCAGGACACGACCGTTGTCCAGGGCAACCTCGTAGGAGAGAGGACCTGTGATCCTGGACACAGAAGCGGGGACCCATGTATGACCAGGCCCGTAATTGCGAGCCCAAACCGGGGCACCCACAAGTAGTTGTCTAGGTGCCCTAGGATGTGAGGTAGATGAAGGCAGTCTGTCCGGATGCAACCGGTCCAGTCTAGTAGTAAGTTGGCGCCCCCAACGAAGTTCAGCTGGAACTTAGCCCGGTAGAAGTGACGGGTGTGTTGCGATAAGAAAGGAGAAAAGTCAGCCAACCGTGATGCCAGTCCCCGTCGGTGATGTCTCTTCAAGGCCGTCTTGCGATGCGAACCTGCGTTCAGCCATACCGTTGGTGGACGGGTTGAAAGGCGCAGACGTGCATTGACGAATATCAGGTTTGCCTCGTTAAGAAAGCTTGGAATCGGGAGGAGGTGGAATTGAGGGCCGTTGTCAGACACAATGACATCTGGGAGCCCGTGTGCAGCAAAAATCCCCCTCAGTACCTGAATAGTCTTTGCAGTGGTGGTGAATGAGACAGGTACAACCTCAAGCCATTTTGAATGGCTGTCAACAAGGACCAAGAAGAACTGGCCCTGAAAGGGCCCAGCGTAGTCAATGTGCACCCTAGACCATGGGGACTGTGTTTCCTCCATCTATGCACAGGAGCTTGGGGCATCTCTGGGCGAGATCGTTGGCATAGGTGGCATGCGTGTACCTTAGCCTCAATATCTTTATCTAAACAGGCCACCACAAGGGGCTTCGTGCAAGAGCCTTCATACGAACAATGTCAGGATGACCCTCGTGGAGGCATTCTAAGACCCTAGTCCTCATTGAGGTGGGAATGACAACTCTGTTTCCCCAAAGCAGACAACCCTGAGAAAGGGACAGTTCGTTCCTTTTGGACCAGAACTCTGAAACTCAGGACTAGGGCAGTGCTCAGGCCACCCGGACAGGACCCAGGAGCGGACACGTGAAAGTGTGTGATCTGTACCTGTTTCAGCGGTAACATCCCTGGCACTAAGAGGGAGCTCGGGCAAGGCTTGGATTGATAGAATGTTGACAGCTGGCGCGGGGTCAGCTTCTACTACTGGCAGAGGCAACCTACTGAGGCCATCAGCATGGCCCATTTCTTTCCCAGGCTTGTGGAGTAATGAAAAATCATATGCAGACAAAAAAATAGACCACCTAAGCATTCAAGGGGAAATGATGTGGGGAGTCTGCTTACGTGTGGTAAACAGTCCCAGCAGAGGCTTATGGTCAGTGAAGACCGTGAAATGCCTGCCATATAGAAAATCGTGGAATTTTTTAATTCCAGCAACAACAGCCAGAGCCTCCCTGTCTATCTGAGCGTAGTTGCGCTCGGCAGAAGACAGTGTTCTGGAGTAGTATGCAATAGGAACCTGAGTTCCATCAGACCTGAGGTGACTCAGGACAGCTCCAACCCCGTAGGGGGACGCATCACAAGCGATGCACACAGGAAGAGACTCGTTGAAATGTGCAAGAACACTGTTAGAAGTGAGCAAGGCCTTGACTTCTTTAAAGCAAGCCTCATGTGCTTGTGACCACAGCCACACAGCTTGTTTGTCTAGTAGCCTGTGAAGAGGCTCAGCTACACTAGCTTTATGTGGAAGAAAAGAATTGTAGAAATTCAGGAGGCCTAAGAAGGCCTGAAGTTCGGCTTAGACTTTGGCCTGGGTGCTTCTAAAATAGCAGTTAGTTTGGATTCAGCAGATGAATCCCGCAGCATCAATTTTGAATCCCAGAAATTCAGTAGAAGGCCCCCAATCTTGCATTTGTCTTTTCTGAGCTGAGCCTTTCCTGAATCTTAACAGGACAGCCCTAAGCCTTTCAGCTAGAATGTGTGTGGAGTCTCCTGCAATCAAGACATCGTCAAAGTAGGGGCAGACCCCTGGTATACCTCGTAGTGTGTTTTCCATTACGCTTTGGAAAATCCCAGGAGCGACATTCACTCCAAACTGTAGCCTTTTTACCTTAAAGGCTCCCCTGTGGGTCACAATGGTCTGAGCTATAGCAGCAGCATCATCAACAGGCAGCTGTTGATATGCTTGAGCTAGGTCAAGCTTTGCAAAAACACGCCCCCCTTGAGAGAGGCCAGGATGTGACTGCCACAGGAACAGGATAGGCATGTTGCTGCAATGCCTTATTGAGTGTGCATTTGTAATCAGCACAAATGCGAATGTCCCCATTTGCCTTTAGAGGCGTGACAATGGGGGTCTCCCACGGGCTGGAATCAACAGGTTCTAGGATTCCCTGTTGGATTAGTTTGTCTATTCAGTGTCAATCTTACTTTTTAAAGCAAAAGGGACCCTTCTTGCTTTAATCCTAATGGGAGTGACAGTGGGGTCTAGCTTTAAGGACACAGGTGGTCCTTTGAATGTGCCCAGCTGGGGGCTGAAAACATCTGCAAATTCTTTGCAGACTTCCTGTAGGTCGAGTGTAAGCTGTTGAGTCCTGTGACGTGTATCCCCAGGGCCTCAAACCAATCGAGTCCTATGAGACTCGTTCGTTCACCCCCTACTACTAATAAGTCTAGTGGACCTTCAAAACTCATGTATTGCACATTAAGGGTGGCCTCCCCCTTAACACACACTCTTGAATTCTGAAAATCTGTTAATACAATATCAGAAGGCCTTAACTTGGCCTTAGTTCCACTACTGGAACAAATCTTCCTAAATGTATGCAATGAAATGATGGAAAGGGCAGACCCTGTGTCTAGTTCCATAGATAATGGAACCCCTTGTAGCTTCACGTTGAGTGACAGCTTTTTCTTCATGGGCTTGTGTGTGCCTGTCCTACAGATGCTTCTTCGCGAAGCGCAAAAACCTACCCTATTCTGGCTGGGGAGTCTGGTACCCTTCAGGCGTTCTTCTTGGGGTTGTGCCTTTCGTCGGCCCAGACACACAGCTGCAATGTGCCCTAGTTTGCCGCATGCCCGGCAGGTAGCGGAGCGGAACTTGCAGTCGGTTCTCCTGTGGCGACCTCCACAGCCGATGCACTTGAGCGGAGCCGAAGAGCTTCCCTTCTGGTTTCCTTCCTTCGCGGGGTGTAGACGGTCGACTTCCTCGTCCGGATCCTCCTCGGAGTTTCGTTGGACGTCTTCCTGGTGCACGGACGCACCCTCTGCACTGCTTCTGATCGGCCGCATGTTCTTGACGGCGCCACCTGCTGCTTCTTCTGCGGTGACTTCCCTTAAGGCGTCTGGAAGGATATTCTTCCTTAGCGAAAAGTCTCCGTTGTAGCTCTCGATGCCTTAACCCGCACACGAATCGGTCCCTCAGTCGTTCCTCGAGGTCCTTGAACTCGCAGGGCTTGGCGGCCTTCCGTAACGCGGCGATGTATTCCTTGGCTGACTCACCGGACCGTTGATCCCTCTGTTCGAAGGTGTGGCGCCATGAGATAACGGACACCTTGGGGTTGAAGTGCTCCTTCAGCAGCTTCTTCAGGTCTGCGTAGCTTACAGACTCTACTGGGACAGGTGCTGCAAGGTTTTCTGCGATTTCGAAGGCGTCTTGGCCGCAAACGCAAAGCAGGGTGGCAGCCTTCAAGCTATCTTCCGTCACTTGGTTTGCCTTGAAGTAGTTCTCCATTCTGGATACGTAGGACTCCCACCGCTCTGGATGTGAGACGTCGAATTCCGAAAGCCTTCCGATTTTCGCCATCTTCGGATCTTCAGGAGACGGGTCTATCAGCCAGCCTACCCCCGAATGCGCACCGGATTGGCGGGCAGCTGCCGAGTCGACGCCGTTCCTCTTCCGCCGCTCAGGACTCCTTGGGTAAGCTTACACTTTTTCCTTTCCAGGTAGTGCAAGGCATCCCACCTTCGTCGCCAGTGTTGAGTCCGTGGCGGGAAAATAGACACGAGAAGCAGCTGGAGTTCTCAGTTTCTTTTATTCAGCGTTCAGCTTACAGGAAGATGGCTTCAGCCTCGCCCAAACGCCTCGCAGCCTCTTATATAGGCAACTCCCGGGTAAATGTGTTACTTTTCCCGCGCCAGCACCCGCGCATGCGCATGGCACTGGCGACAGGCTGTCTGGTCCCGGGCAGCTTTGCACCTGCCCGGGACTGCCTGCAAACGCCCGAGCCGTTTGCAAGGCTTGGGACATAACAATTCCCTTTTTGCGCACCTGAACTTTCTAAATAGCTGGAATATTGGCAGCTCCTTTCTATGATTCCCATGGTGATATTATGGTATGAATGGAGTGATTGGTCTTCCAACAACTAGTGTGGAGCTTCCTCTCTTTCTTTAGAGATTATTGGAGGGTTCCTGCACTAAAATCTAGCTCCATATAGTAAGTAATACCAGGAATTAGAATAGCTTTCTCAATTTGTCTTTAGAGTCGTCACGCTATGCTTCTGAAAGAACATGACTAGAGCAGATATTTTGCCTAAGAAGAAACTTCCAGGCAGCCATTAATCTTTACTCGTTTCATCCTAAGCTTTAAGAGTCCATTTCTTAGATTCTTATATGAAGTTGCAAGAGTTCTATATTTAAAGTAACTCTGTTGACCTTCCTCTTTGCAGATTTATTCTTTTCTTAGAAATGTATAGAGCAGAGAAAGGAATTTACCTTTGTTCTTGCAGCTCTCCTCTTCTATCTAGGCTCTATAGAGTTCACTTTTCACTTCACTTTGTAGCCTCTTCTGCCTTGCGGCAGACGAAGATCTAAGTATAGTTTCATGATGTATTGACTGCATATATAATGTGGTTGAAACACATTAGATTTGGAAGATCATACTTACTTTTATGAACATTTTGGCACCTCTTCTCCCGTCCCGTCCCCCCCCCCGCTCTCTTACACACCATTTTGGCAGTAGCAATTATTTTTTGCATATCTCATCAAACTACTATAAAGAAATGAAAAGGCACTGCTAAATTCAGGAAAGTAGATGTGAATAATGATGGAAGTAGCCTGTAGCAGATTATGAGCCCAAAATTTCTGTTGCTAAGGAAAACATTTGTTAAGTGACTTTTGCCTTATTTTACAACCTTTTTTGCCACAGTTGTTAAGTGAATCACTGCAGTTGTTAAGTTAGTAATATGATTAAGTGAATCTGGCTTCCCCATTGACTTCGCTCACAAAAGGTGATTATGTGACCTCAGGACACTGCAACCATCACAAGAATGAGTTAGTTGCCAACGGTCCGAAATTTGATTACATGACCATTGGGATACTACGACAGTCATAAGTCAAAAGCAGTCATAAATCATTTTTTAGTGCTGTGGTAACTTTGAACGGTCACTAAATGAACTGTTGTAAGTTCATAGGACTACCTGTGTTTTGACTAACGGATTTATTTCTGGATATAATTAACTGGTTAATTCTGCTGTTAGGTTTAGGTAAGGGGGAGGAATGGTAAAGCATATATTTTGCATGAAAAAGACTTGGACTTAATATTTAGCAGTTTCATGAAGGTTTGGAAAACATTTCTGTTTTAGACTTCTGAATGGTTATTGGTATAATACTAATCTAAGTGAATCAACAAGTTATGATATAATGGTGCTTTTCAAGAATACAGGAAAATATGTCAATATACAGTATATTTCACGAGCATTTCATTTCTGAGCATCAAGGCTAGGACTACAGTGCTTATTTGGGGTTCAGTTTCTTTGAAACAAAGTCATTGAAGACTGATGCCTTTTGGTGATAGTTACATATATACACCGATGTGCAAGTAGAGCATAAGAGCTTCATAATATTAGCATTCTGGTAGATTTTTGTTATACCCCATTTGATTTCTAAGGAATCCTACCACATACCGCAAAGGATGGTGCTCTTTCCGTCTCTTGCCTTTAATAATTGTCTAGTGGCAAATGTATCTCGTTTGATTCTTTAACATGTATACAGAGAAAGCATAATGAGCAAACACCTATTATTATTAGAAGAATCTCATATAAGAACATAAGCAGTCTTTTGGTCCACTGAAAGACAGCTATCAGATTATTTATGGAAAGGTCTGGTGGCATTCTCAGAGGTAAAAACACTGATAGATGTAGACATAGAAAGCCTTCTCAAAAATTATAGAAAAATAAATATTTTCTGTAAAAGTCTTTAAATTCCTCTCTAAATCTCTTTACAGGAATTTGTTCCTGTATCTCAGGGGCTGCCACAAAGAAGAGGGAGTGAAGCTATTTTCCATTTGTCTGTTCGGCTGTTGTTGTTTTTTGCTTGCTTATTCATTTATCCCTTCAACTTAGCTGCCCACTCATTCACCAAGTAACTCTGGATACTTTAGACAATTATCTTAGAGCAGTTGCAGGCAATCTATATTCTATGAGCCATGTAGAACCTAACTAGCTTTTGGTTGCTTGTTAATTCAGAGGTCCATCTCCTCATCAGTGATGACAAGAATCCATTTTTCAGCAGAAAATAAACCACATCACAGCACTGGTGTGTGTCATGTATGCTATCATAAGGTTCTCAGTCTTTTAGGGGAATGTTGCTGCTTCAGCATTGTAGACCATTGACGACCTTGCCAGGTAGATCAGAACGGCCTTGATTTGTGGTTCCTTTGACAAACGTGCCAACTCCACCCAACGTAATTCACTATGAAAATGTGGCATGCCTAATGCTTTGGTCCCTCTATGCACTACTTTTTATAGTTTTTATTTTCCATCAGCTAGCTAAACTTTTGGTTTTTTATATACTTTGAAATTATGGCTTGGTTGGTTGATTGTTCAGCATATCAACCATTCGAGAGTAGGAGAAAATTGAAGGGTTCCCCTATCCCTTCATGTCTCTTGGCTATCATCTTGTGACTATCCAAGATGAAGGTATTGAACTGGAATTTGAGAAAGGATTTAGCAGTGGAGACTGCTGTGAGAGCTGTAAACTATGCTATGAACCTTAAGAATGTTATGCGAGGAGAGGAAGTAGCAGCCACCAGGAAAAAATCTCCTGCTATACAGTCACAAAAGTACAAGAGATGAATTCTTTCAATTATAGTTCTGATTTTATGGGCTAAGTCAGGGATAAACTAGTTAATTTCAAGGCTTCAGCCACTAGAATAGAGATTTTCAAACATTTTCTGACCATAGACCATAGAACCGGTTAAAAAGCAGTTCCCAGAGCCCCTGATTAAAAGTCAAACCCTAGTGATAGAAACAAAACAAACAAAACTTGCATAAACATACATTATGCAAATGAATATACATGAAACTTCTTCCGCAAAAATGGATAGTGCAATTACAAGCACTGGAATTGGTTTCACTTCTTTTATTTTCATTTTTTTTCTGGACTGCCTGAGGTTATATTAGTTTGTAGCCAATGTTCCATATCTGGAAAAAAAATTAGAATTTGAATGGAATATCACTTTGTGTGTGTGTGTGTGTGTGTGTGTATGTGTGCACACAATACCAGGCGTTCAGTTCATTGGATCATTGGAGTCATAAATTTGTGATACCAATGTTGAAGAACAAGTCAGTATTTAAAACTGTATTTTCTAGTTAATCAAGTTTTGTAAATATTCATCTTAATACAGTGGCCTTAAATTTCCAAACACCTGGAGTACAAATGGATCTTCAAATTGGGAAATTTTCAGATAATGGTGGCTGTGGCTATATATTGAAACCCGAATTCTTGAGAAATAAACAGACATCATTTACTCCATATAATATATCTGTAGACCATCAACCAATTACGCTTACAATTAAAGTAAGTTCATTACAATTATATTATTATTTTTGCTGATTTGCTTTTACAAATGCTTCTTACTGCAGCTTTCTGGGTTTTCTGCCTGAATTCTTGACAAGTAATTAAAGGAACTGGAGCTCAAAGTTTTGCTGGTGTTATTGTTCCAGCATGATCCTCGTATCATTTATGTTCCATATACGTACTGTCTTCTTCAGAGAGTTTTATGATAGTACATGATAGCATGTTTCTGAACTATAAAATGATTTCAATGTTCACATTTAAAAATGAGCCATAATAAGATAGGGATGGTTTCACATAATATCAAATTTTAGAAGCTGATTAAAATTTTTAGTGCTTGCTTAGGGACTCACTGGTTCTGAACTGATTATTTGTTCTGTTTTGTTATTTCTGTATACTGACTGCTAGTTGTTACTTTATTTGTATAAATATTTTTAATTTAATATTTGTGTTCCTTCCCCAACCTGGCATTTCGAAAGTCTTGAGTTCTAACTCTCAGATTTTGCAGCCAAAAGCTGCACATGATTAGGAGTTCTGGGAATTCAAATCTCAGTATAATTGTCAAATGGCAGAATGAGGAAGGCTGCATACAGTTGTAAGATATAAAAACAGTTGAAAATAATAAAATTTAATTTTAAGCAGACACAAGTAGTATATACAATTAATTGGATTGCTATGTTGTTGGCTGCTGGGTAAGATGACTCTTGGCTAAAATAATGCAGCATGGATATAAATATATGACCCAAACAGATCATCAGTTAAGCTTGGTAGCATCTAAACTAGAGATATTAAACCAAATTATAAAAATCTGGTTGACTTGAAAATAATAAAGAGATAGAATTTCTATACCTTTTTGCTAGGGATAGTCTGCATGTATTGATATCAGATGCAGATTTTGTGTGTTAGAAGTAGGATCAAATATGATACTTCATCATATCCAGAACATAATAAGGCATGATATAATAAGGTATGGTATATTCATAATAAGGTATGAGTATGAAGCCATTTCAGTTCTTTAATTCATCCTCAGACTATTGCAACTAATAAAAAATGAATGGATGACTAGGCTTCTAAGATGGTGAGGTGCTGTGTTTGATACATAAGGATTCAGATGGAAGGACATGTTCCTCTTAGCCCTGTCTCGTTACCTTGTTAACTTTGCCTTTGCCTTTACAAAGTCCCACAGCGCAAATGTATACTGAGTGGTTTTTTTCCCCTTACCCTTTATTGTTTCCTTAAGTTGGCTTATTTTTCTTTATAAATTCTGGCAGGAGAGAGATTGAGAGAGCATGTAGCAGTTTGACCACAAGTTAAAAAACTGAACTGCAAGTTGAAAAGCCCAATTTTCAATCCCACCTTAAGCAGAAATTTTTGGCAAAGCCCACCTGGTTGGTTTTCAGTGATGGAATTATTTCTTGAGGATGACCTATTGGAGATTCATCTGTCTCCAACACTGTCAGTCTTTTTCCCCAAAAAACTCTGAAGGCAGAACTTTTCTAGAGGGCTTTTGGGGCCTGAGGTCATGCTCTCTTTTGAGCTTTTGTCCTGTGTCTGTGTTTTATACTCTATTTTACAGTTTTACTTTGTGAGCCACTGATATTTCTGTGATTCTGGGAGAATAAAATATTGATTAAAAGTAAATAAATTGCACTTGAAAAATCAGCAAGGTAGAGTTTAATGCAATGTTGTTTTTTACTTTTTGTTCTGGAGGCTATAAACTCCACCCCTCCCTGCAATATTTTATGATAGCCTTTGAAACTTTCTTAGGAAAAATATTAATGCCTGTAATAATATTAAATTATTATTATTATTATTGATGATGATGTTAAATGTTAGTGTCCTAGTTAATACTGGTCTCTTTTCCTGCATCTATGCAGCTTATTAGTGGCCATCAGTTACCACCTAGCAACCTTTCCAGAACTAACAAAGCCGACCCTCTTGTTATACTAGAAATTTATGGCATTCCAGAAGACCAGGCAAAACAACAGACTTGTGTTGTGAGGAGCAATGGTAAGTGGATCATACTGATTCTGCCAGGCAGCCTTTTTTAGCCTGATAGCTTACAGATAGTTTGAATCTACAATTTCCCAGAATTTCAACTCATCTGAATGGCATTGAATTTGGAAAGCATGGCATGCTGTCTTTAATAATCTTGGAATTTTGCACATCTTAACATAATTCCCTGATCAAGAGGCAAAGCAATGAGTTTCCATCAGCACAAACATCCTTGGTGTGTTGAGGCTTCTCAATGTCACCTTGACTAGCCTGCCTTTCTGCTGTACTTTAGAAAAGTTGTTATAGGTGTACCATGGCTGTATACTTTTCAATAAAGATATATCAGTGGACAGTCCATAAAACAGGTTGGAAATTATGGAAATTGTTAATATATGCTAAACACAGTTTGTTTTCTTATCAACAGCATGCATGTTTTAGAACTGTGAGAGGTTTTCAGCAGAAGTGCAGTGCCAATAGCCATTGCAAAGGTGACATTAATTTTTGATTTAATTTTTGAGATCTTCATGTGAACATCACCATATTTTTAAAGAGAATAAATGAGATTGTATTCCTCTTGATTTCATTATGACCAAAGGCGTAAGCTTAATTAATGACATATTTCTTGTTTGGTAAATCATTCAATTTTCTATTCTTGTAGTCACTTGGAATAACCAGAAAAAAGAAGTGAGAAGAAATAATGATTAACACTCAGAAGATAAAGTGTTTTAAGGCTTATTGTTTGTCTTATATTGCTTTTTTTATTTTAGCTTTGTGTCCTAGGTGGAATCAAACATTCACATTTCATATTCGTGTTCCAGAGCTTGCCTTACTTCGTTTTGTTGTAGAAGATCAGTTTTCTCTTGCTTCCAATGATTTCCTTGGTCAATATACGTTGCCACTTTTGAGCATAAATAGAGGTATTACATTGATTGTTTTTGTGTACAAAAAGGTGTTTCAAATCTTTATTTTTTGTTATAACTTTTCTTTTGATTAATATATAAGACATAGCGCACAAGTCATCGTAATATTGTTTCTATTATTGCTGGTCTGGAATTGTTCAAATAACTATTCTTCCCTTAATTTATGACATTGTATGATTGAATGGTGGGTTGACTTACATTTTTTTTAACTTTCAAATATTAGTTATGAGCCGTACAATTTTCCCTTTTACGTAAATCAACACGCTAGCGTTCATGAGATATCTTTCTCAGTGTCTGGAAGCTACAAACTTTATCTTAATAACAGGAGTGTTAATGCACACTTCCACATATTGCTTACTGCTTATCTTTTCTTACTAAGTCTGTTTAAATGTCAAACCACGCATTTATGGACCATTACAGTACATACAATGTTTGGAGATTCCAATGGAGAATAATAAATGTAGCTCAGGGTTGAACTGTGGAGTCCTTGGTGCTCTCTAAGTTTGATAGTTTGCTTACAGACATTTCATTACTCAGTTAGGTAATATCATCACTGAAATGGGTAACAAAATGTCTGCAAGCAAACTACCAAGTTTAGAAAACATTGAGAACTCCACTGTTTGGAGAGTCTTTTTGAATGACCAGCAGCTGATTATTTTCATTTTGATTCCCATAATATCACTAGTCAACATTGCGTCTCCAAAGGTTGCTTGGTTCTTTGTAGGGGCAGTATGTTTACTGCTTTCCTTAGTACTTAAAGCCATTATGGATCAAGAGAAGGAACTTTGGGTGTTCAAAGATCTTAATGAGTAACATGGGATGAAGACTTGCTTAACAGTGAAATTTGCCCTAAATCAAGTCAGTTATTGCTCATAGTGCCTAGCATGAATCCCCAAGGATTTTTTCTAATCCTGCATAAAGTTTTCATAGATTAAACTGAGTACCTTTCTTATTGCAGAACACATTGAAACCATTAAACCTCCTTCCAAGGTTGTCTATAATTGCTGCATTTTTATAATAGTTTGTAGCTAGTATAAGTAATTGTGCAAACTTCTGTACTGATGTAGTTGAAATTGCACTGCTTTGTTTTTCGTATAAAATGAATGAGAATCATGCTCTTACATTGGAGCAAATCCTTCTCTTATACTGGAGCAAATAAGGATTTGTACTAAAATACAACTTTGATAGAACCAAGTTTTTGTACTGGTTTTGATGTTTCCGATTCTTGGAGGAATGAGTTTCAAACTAAGGCTTTACAAGATGCAGCCTAGATTAGTGGGCAGAGAGAACTCAAAAATTTTCGTCTCAGATTCTATTTCATGATAATTATATAAAGTCACAGACCACAGAGCTATGTTATATATGTATTATTGTGTATTTTTCATTGTGTACAGTACATTAATTGATTGCTATCATATTGCAGGTTATCGTCATGTTCCACTTTTTTCCAAACTTGGTGTCAGCTTACGTCCTGCTTCACTCTTTGTACATATTTGGTACTCAAGAAATGTATGTTAGGATTTCTGCCTATTCCACAATAAAGATTCAGTGGTTTAATTATATTAAGCATTCGGTATGACAATTTTTTCCTGAATTAATTTTATTCCCTATGTATTAAACCCACATAAAATATACCTTGCTGAGTAAGAATACCCCTCCTGTTATATTTCTAACAGATCAATACTTTTCAGAAAATGCACTAAAAAGAAGAAAAGTTTCCTTGATGTTTGCCCTAGCAGTTTAGCATTCAGTTAAGTTCCATAAATATAATGCACAAATACTTTCAGTCTTATTTGGTTATCATGACTAATTGCTGCTAAAAATTTAGTTTCTATAAATTGTTTGCATTAAATCAAAAGCAATTATCAAATTATATATCTTATGTTTTAAAATTCAGTCAGTTAATATAGTTTATTTTCTACCTATCTATCCCCACATATATCTTGAGTGCGTTACAGAACACTTGTATATACCTCATAGATGATTACAGGTGATAATATTTTGGCTTGTAAACTGGTCCCTGGATTACAGATCCTAATTTTGATAAAATATAATGAACAGGCTTGAGATATAACAGGCTTTGGCTGTTTTTATTGTCCAAAAAGTACCAAAACCGAACAGGAAAAGCTGCATATGGTATAGCTACAACTAAAGTTTGCAATCTACTCTTTCTCTGTCTTACTCCAAAGTGCTACATGACAACCATGATTATCCAAAACCATGATAAGCAACAGAGATTAATATAGGCCCATATGACATGAGATTCTGCAACAGAATGGGGAAGGTGGCAAACTATGATGTGTATCTACATTCAATGCAGAACTACAGTAATAAATTACAGTATGAGGAAGGAGGCTCAGGTTAAACATTAGGAGGAACTTCCTATCTATATGAGCTGTCAGCTGTCAACTGCTGGAAGATGCTACAATATGACATAATGAATTCTCTGCTAGAAGTTTCCACATTGAGGCTGGATGGTCATCTGTTGGAGAGGTTCTAGCACTGTAAATCCTCTACTCAACAGGAATTTGGGTTAGATAACATTTGTGGTCACTTCCAACTCTGCTATACTGTCAGCTGCTATGGTGTTGGTACACAAGTACAAAAATAGTAGCATTTGTGTGTTGACATTACGTCCATATTTTTTTCATTTTCTCGTAATTTATTACTAATACGGCTGTCGTTTAGTGACAATCATAGAGTTTTGAAAGATTGGGAATTTGAATGAAAGTGGAGTAAATGATAAGCACCATGAATTAAAGTAATTAAAAAAATGATATGACACGTATCTCAAATTTTGAGAAACATTAAGGATGTAAATAAATGTCAAATTTTGTGGAGTTGATAAATACCTGTTGGAAAATGAAGGTGTAGGTTTAATTCTAAACGAAAGGGCTAAAATGCATATAGTTGAGGGATTACATGAAAATAGGAATCCTTTAGTTAGTGATGGTTGCATGTTATATTCCTGTGAATAGTGATAAAAGAAGGATCGGGTGTGAGCGTTGGGGAAAATTGAGGAACATCCTTCATGACACCCAGAGGAAAAAATATTCTGTTAGATAGGTGGGAAACAAGATGAAAGAATATAGAAAAAAGGAATAATTCAGAGGCTCAAAATGAATGAAAATGATGACTAGCTAGTACTTGCTTAGAAAGCTTCATTCCAGGCAGCTTACAATCAAAATGCTGGTCTCTTTGTAATATTTGCTTATAGCAAGTGTTTTTCCCCCCTACAGTAAATAGTTCATGACTTCATCAGTTCTTTAGAGGCATATTAATGATCAACTAGCTTTTCTCGGGAAGACTTTAATTAATTTCAAGAGTGGACTGGGGTGACAGCAATTCTCTTCTGTTCTGTCATGACAAAATATATTCTTTTTTTAATCTTTATTTTTCTCTTCATTACAATTACCCTTCAGCTCCAATAGCTTTTTAAGTTGTGAGCTATTTAAATAAGATTTGTTTGCCTTGAAACTATTGTGTTTTCCCGAAAAAAAGGCCATTTTCTGCACTGAGACCCCAGACGCTCAGTGTTTTGCATCTTTTGAAGAAAATGTCATTTACGGAGCAACATCATACTGCAATATGGCTGCAATCCAAGGATGCACAAAAATGTTTTAGGTGATAAGGAATTGTGTTTCTCAAAAGCTGCTGCTTGTAATATGGAAATCTATCAAATTACAGTGGTAAGAATAAAAACCAACATAGATAGTCCTCAATTAACGATGGTAAACCTGTCACATTGCCCTTCCAGCACAAATATATTCCTGTTCAAGCTGCTTGATGCTAATATGAGATTGGTGCTCAATATGGTAGGTTGCTTTTGTACCTTTCATCTTTCTTTTATAAGAGTGGGCTTTGAGGCAGTTTTGCATTTGATGACTTCCGTGACCTTGTTTCAAATTATCATGGGCCTGAAGCACAAGCAAGAGCACATGATGGATCTGATGTAATTCTCATGCACTTGGAAGTCTGCCAGCCTATGACTTAAAATTTCCTGGCAGCTTCCCTACTGATTTTGGTTGTATAGAGCTGGCAGGAAGTTTCCTCACTTAGCGACCATGCTCTTTGGGTTAAAAAGAACTATCAGGTCTGCAGAGATTGCCATTGCTAAGTGATGTTGTCATGGATTACAACTGCATTGCTTAGCAACAGAAATTCCAGTCTCAAGTGCCTTTGTAACTTGAGGACCAACCTATAATTAGAAATAGTTTTCAGGCATAGCAAATTTATATTATTTACTGAGGAGTAAAATAACATTGGTTCTGATCAAACAAAATTATTCCGTTTTCAGAAGGATTGTTGTTACGTACTACTAAACATTTTCCTTGCCCCGGTGCGCTGGCTAGAGATGAACTGAGTTTAGCCTAACTCCATCTATTCAGAAATAGTTCTCTCGAGAAACATTGCTACCTTTGAAATTTCATTCTGCAAAATACATACAGATGGCTTTTTAATTTTGAAGTTAATGAGAACCATTTGCAAATAGAAGAGTAGTAATTCCATGAAGATAACTAAATGACAATGGGCCATGAAAATATCTCTCTGATTAGTGGGCTATTCTCTACTCAGTGGTGTTCCTCCATACATATTCTCCATGGCAAACACTCAGCAAATATAGCAGATGTACTAGTAGAAAATGGGGGAAAAAAACTAATGAATAAATAATTCAGTTGTCTAAGACAATTTTATACACGATTCCCCTTTGTGTATCACTTTTCTTTGTCTTAAGTGAATATTGTTCATCCAACTATTAAGTCTTTCAAATGTTCCACTACTTTCTACGATAAGTCATGATTTTTTTTAAATACGTGTGTTACAATGACCCAATTCTAACCGAAAAGATGATAGAAGTTCAAGTGCTCCTATATACAAAAATAATAATATTTAATGCATATAAATCTATTCTTGAAGAAGAACTGGCAAGCCAGACCCTGCTTATTTAATCTGGTACTGCTCTAAACATCATGTCTATATCATTCAATTAATCAATATGGTAATCTTTGGACATCTTATGTTTTGTTTAATCAAGAAGGAATGGCAAAGAAGCCAATTTCAAAGATTTAATTTTGAAACCTTAGGATTTAAATTCTAAAATGTATGCCCTATCCTAAATGTCCACGAATTGTATTTACTTATGCGATTTATTATTGAACTTTCTGCCAACAGCACTGAATGTGGCAGACGAAAAAAATGAAAATAATTAATTTGCAGCTAAAAACAATTCTTATATAATTTTCAGCACCATAAAAGTATCTGAAACACCTAGCATAGCTTAAATTCAGTCAAAAAATCAGGTAAAATAAAGATGCTTTTGCTGGTCAGCAGGGAAATATCAGAAGATAATCTCCCTGACTAAGTTTAGTACAGAATTCCAAGGTGCTCAATGCATCCCACAACTTAATACAAAACATATATACACATTAAATAATCCCTGAAGATGTATTTCTAATGACCCTGGGTCAGAAGGAAATTGTAATTTGAGGCTCTAGGTACTTTAATTGTTTGAAGTGCTAGAACAGTTGATAAGTGAAGATGTTTTGGATACTGTTATGTTTTCTCCTAGAAAAGCTGCCTCCATCCTTCTTTGGATGCCAGACAATATATGATTTTCCCATTAGGAATTTGAGACTTATTAATATTTTAATTTGGGACTGTTTTAATTTTACTGCCTATTTGAATTAGCTGTTTTTATCGTATTTTACTGATTGGCATTCTCTCTTTATTTTCAAAATCCATTTAGAACCGTAAAACATTATTAGATCAATTCAAAGCTGACACCTCATCTGTTTTTAAGATTTAATAAAGCTATTATCAACATAGGGACTTTAAAATTTTACTCTTATCCAATATAATTATCTTTGTTTTTCTTAAGAAACGAATGATGTTAATGTTGTTTTCTCTCTTTTATGATATATCTATAACACCACATTAAAGAAGCCCCTGTCTTCTGTAAACAATCTTGATGTTTTGCTTTTGTTCAAAGAAAGAAATGAAGTAGAAATACTAACCTAGACACCACTGACCTGGATACTGTTTATTGTGAAGGACTGCATGTTTTCATGAACCATCGAACAACAAATCAAAAAGATCAGTTGGAATGTACTACACAACTGTTCTATTTGGTCATTATTTCATTCACACAGGCACTGCAGCAACTACAATGATTCATCATTTCCAGTGGCCTTCACTTCTTTTCTCTAAGTCATCATCAGTATATCCCAAGAGATTGAAGTGCGAGTAACTGGGAGCCTTCTCCGAAACTCTCTCCATGTTTCATTTGACAAATCGTAGAGGCTTTTCACAAGATCCATCTGAAATTTGTTATCTTCAGCTTCAATAAATTTCTCAAAATCCAAGGCAAATTGGTCCCGATGAATTAAATATATGGAACCTTCAACAGTATTACTTGCTCAATGCATCCCACAACTTAATACAAAACATATATACACATTACATAATCCCTGAAGATGTATTTCTAATGACCCTGGGTCAGAAGGAAATTGTAATTTGAGGCTCTAGGTACTTTAATTGTTTGAAGTGCTAGAACAGTTGATAAGTGAAGATGTTTTGGATACTGTTATGTTTTCTCCTAGAAAAGCTGCCTCCATCCTTCTTTGGATGCCAGACAATATATGATTTTCCCATTAGGAATTTGAGACTTATTAATATTTTAATTTGGGACTGTTTTAATTTTACTGCCTATTTGAATTAGCTGTTTTTATCGTATTTTACTGATTGGCATTCTCTCTTTATTTTCAAAATCCATTTAGAACCGTAAAACATTATTAGATCAATTCAAAGCTGACACCTCATCTGTTTTTAAGATTTAATAAAGCTATTATCAACATAGGGACTTTAAAATTTTACTCTTATCCAATATAATTATCTTTGTTTTTCTTAAGAAACGAATGATGTTAATGTTGTTTTCTCTCTTTTATGATATATCTATAACACCACATTAAAGAAGCCCCTGTCTTCTGTAAACAATCTTGATGTTTTGCTTTTGTTCAAAGAAAGAAATGAAGTAGAAATACTAACCTAGACACCACTGACCTGGATACTGTTTATTGTGAAGGACTGCATGTTTTCATGAACCATCGAACAACAAATCAAAAAGATCAGTTGGAATGTACTACACAACTGTTCTATTTGGTCATTATTTCATTCACACAGGCACTGCAGCAACTACAATGATTCATCATTTCCAGTGGCCTTCACTTCTTTTCTCTAAGTCATCATCAGTATATCCCAAGAGATTGAAGTGCGAGTAACTGGGAGCCTTCTCCGAAACTCTCTCCATGTTTCATTTGACAAATCGTAGAGGCTTTTCACAAGATCCATCTGAAATTTGTTATCTTCAGCTTCAATAAATTTCTCAAAATCCAAGGCAAATTGGTCCCGATGAATTAAATATATGGAACCTTCAACAGTATTACTTGCTGTCCAGTGAAGATTGGCTTTTTTGAAATAATGAAGCTGTACTTTTAAGTCCCCTTTGATTTCGGAAACAGGCGGAGTGACTGCAATTATCCACTCTGATTTCCAGTGAATGTTCCAGAATCTCCTATTCTGGTGGCTTTCCATGCAGACCACAAGATATGGCCTATTTCTAATTGTTTTTCTGTAAACCCGACAAACTCCTGAAATGAAATGCCTCTCCATGTATGCTTCCAAGGTCACATTAAGGGTTTCTCTCCATAATTCTGCCTTATCTCTCCTGATATTACAATAAAGCAGAATTTTGTCAGCTCTCCTGTTCAGGTGATCGAATGTAAAGGAAAGCTTGATCTGTGGATCAAAGAAGCGATCCCCTTCCATGTCATTATGGCGAGTCACCAGAACACTTTCCCCTTTTACGTGTGTAGTGGTGAAATTTTTCTTGGAATGATTAGCACACATCTGAGCAACGTCGTGCTTCATGAGTTTATCATCAGAAAGCAGAAAGCGAAGGTCTTCAAAGACATTCTTGAATTCACCCGGAGGGCATTGTTTTAACAAGTTGCATATTAATTTTATTTTGAGTGCATTAGCTGCTTCTTCTTCGGCTACTTTGGTTTCCTCAGGGGTTGGTTGTTCTAAATCAGGCAATGCGGCTGCAAAATAAAACAAGAGCTCTTTCAAACGTTTATGAATTAAACTCTCCACTGCTTATTGACATTTCTTCCAAAACAGAACGAAGTAGTTTTTCATTTTGAGTCTTTATTGTCACTTTTAGAAATGAGTCTAGAACTTCCTAGGATTAAGCTAGATCTAGAATTGAATGCGAGCTCATCAGAAGTTTTAATGGAAGCTATAAGAGCTTAAAACAGTAATTCATTGCAAACCAAATTCGAGCCAGCAGTGATGTGATTGAAAACACCCCTCCAATCCTAAAAATGACATGCAGTTTATGTTACATCAACTGAAATATTATTTATTTATCACATTTGTAAGGCTGCCTGACTTCATAGCAACTCTACACGGTGCACATATTAAAAATAAATTAGCAACAGATAAACATAACAATAGATTTCCAGAGAAAATAACCAACATTTTCTCAATCATACTGCATTCCCTCAAAGGGACTACTACTCAATCTGATACGCCTGGAGAAAATGGCGTAATTTAAGAGCCCATTTCAACAAGGCTATGATCGGGGCAATGCGACTCTCTGGACAGACGCAGTTCCAGAGGATAAATGCCACAACAGAAAATGACACTGTTTTAATTGATGGGACATAAAGCATACCAGCTCTGTCAGATTGAATATCGTAGGCGCGCTCTGAAGAGATATAGCATGCGGAGGGCTTTATAGATGTAGAGGGTACAGAGAATGATCTTGAAGAAAGGAAGAACAGTCCATAGCAAAGCAACAATCAGATAAGTTGGACTTGACCTCATTTGAAGCCAAATGACAAATGACTCAGACCATCCCTAGTTCACGGAGAGATAAAGCAAGGGGGGAAGGAAGAACATTCGGACTCGCAAGTGGCTACAATAAAAGAAATACTGAGATACAAGATGTGGATTTGTTCGTCAGGTCTACTGTAAAAGAGTAACACAATTCTTGTAAGTCTCCTATTCCAGGGGTCCCCAAACCCTGGGTCGTGGACTGGTACCGGGCCAGGGCCTGTTAGGAACCAGACCACACTGCTGGAGGTGAGATGCGGGTGATCAAAAGTGTGCATGCATGGGATCTATGTTGTGTACTCCTTCCCCCCACCCCTGGTCCGTGGAAAAAATATCAAACACAAAACTGGTCCCTGGTGCAAAAAAGGTTGGAGACCACTGTTCTATTCTGCTTCTAGACAGGCAGTTACCTTGATGACTAGAGTTAGCCTCCAATTCTCAGAGCACACACTATCAACAACCTTGCTAGAGTATTGCTGGATGTACCAGAAGCAAATGGATGTTCAAATAACTTATTTAAAAAATATGAAGTATTTGGTGCTCTCTGAACTTGGTTGTTTGCTTGGAGACATTTTATTACCTGACTAGGTAACAGCTTCTATGAATGAGTGTTGCTCCATGTTTATATGCAGAAGTTTGCCATGCCAATTTTGATATGTCTATGGGGTGGGGGGGTGGGGCGGATGCAGTAGGAGGAGATGGCTTTCTCCTTGGTTCCCCCTTGATTAGGGGAGTGTTTTCTGCTATTAACCCTTGTTTATTTTGGTATTAGCTACTGGAGATGATGTGTTTCTGGTTCTTTGTGTTTCCTTACTGCTTGTTTACTGCCTCTTGAATGGTGTGTAAATATGGTATGTAAATATATGTTGATAGCATCCAAGCATACTTTATTGTTTCTATTACTTTTTGTTTAGATTCAAAGCAGAGGATAGAGTAGCTACAGTTACGTAATGCAGAGGGGAGCGTGAACATTTCTGCCAACCTGTAGTTAGGCTCAAGCAGCCCACACGAGTCTCAAAGATGTTTTTTAAAAAGGCAACCAGATTGTTTTTTTTTCCTTGAGGAAGAAGAAAAAGACATTTCGCTTCTCATCCAACAGGCTTCATCAGTTATAGGATGATGGTCCGGGCGATGGAAGGATTAGTCGTGGCAGGATGGGAGGGGGTTGGACCGAGGGCACAGATAAACCCCCAAGTGCCTCAAGAGCTCTCAGGGAGAGTGCTAACGACCAGATGACTGCAAAGAAATATGACTCTTCCAACCCCCCCCCACCTTCTGTCAGCACTTATTTCTAATTTTTAACTAATTTCTCATTTGATAAATTTCCCTGAGATGCTAGGAACCACTGTTTAAGTCCCCTGAAGATAGAAATAATATCCTGCATGCCTTCTAAAAATTTTAAGCACGGATAGAAGGATGAGATCCAAACAATACGTTGAGACGTTCCTCAACCTATAGGCTAGGATGTCAACCAAGATCTAAGTAAAAGGGGAAGAGTCAGTACATGTTAAGGCATGGTCACAATTGTATTATTAAGGGCAGCTAGAGTGACCCTGAAGAGCAACTTGAGTTTTATCTTGGTTTTACCAGGCATTTCAGGTTGCTTGTCCTTTGCAGCTTGGGCATCCACTGCTTGCTTTGCTGGTGCTGCTGGTGCTCCTGGTGCAGTTGCTGAAGGCTGTGGTTCTGTTGTTGGTTTTGGAGTTGGTTGAGTTGTTGATGGCGCCGCCACAGGGGGAACAGCGGGGGCTGCTTTTTTGATAGGTAGATAGATAGATAGATAGATAGATAGACAGACAGACAGACAGACAGACAGACAGACAGACAGACAGACAGACACAGACAGACAGACAGACAGACAAATAGATTAAAAACAAAGAAAAATAACAACCCACAAAGACAAAATAATCGTTATCTTCAATTAAGTAACAAGATGTGACTTACCTGGTCCTTGCTTTGCTGCTGGTGCACCTGCTGGAGCTTGTGGTTCTGTTGTCGGTTTTGCTGCAGAAGGAACGGTGGGACATGCTGATTTTTTTTTAAATATAGACATTAAAAACACAAAGAAAAACAACAACACACAAGGAAAGAAAAAGGAAAGATGTTTTCTGTAAGTAATTGATAAGGGATGACTTACCAGGAGCTTGGGGACTGGCTGCTGTTGCTGGTTGTGGAGCTGTTTAAGTTTGGCATTTGGCAGAAGAAATAATATAAGAAAAAATATTAGGACTTGTATATTAAAACTTGGCACAAAGAACAAACAAGGAAATGTATTATCTTGAATTAAATAATAAGGGATGACTTACCCGGTGCTTGCTTTGCTGCTGGTGCAGTTGCTGAAGGTTGAGGTTCCGTTGTTGGTTTTGGTGTTGGTTGAGTTGTTAAAGGGGCCGCAGCAGGAGGAATGGTGGGGGCTGCTTTTTAGATAGATATAATTAGATTAAAAACATAAATAAAAATAATAAACCACAAAAGAAAAAAAAACAAGGAAAGGTATTATCTTCATTTAAGCAATAATGGGAGACTTACCTGGTGCTTCCTTTGATGTGGGCGCAACCCCTGGAGCTTGTGGTTCTGTTGTCGGTTTTGGTGCTGGCTGAGTCGTTAAAGGGGCCGCCGCAGGAAGTTCTGTTGCCGGTTGTGCTGCAGGAGGAATGGTGGGACCTGCTGAATGGTTTTTATAAAATATAGACACTAAAAACACAAAGAAAAACAACAACCCACAAAAAACAAAACAAAAAGGAAAGATGTTTTTTGTAATAATAACTGATAAGGGATGACTTACCAGGAGCTTGGGGGCTGACTGCTGTCGCTGGTTGTGGAGCTTTTTTAAGGTTTTCATTTTCAAGGGCATTTGACAGAAGAAATAATGCAAGAAAAAATATTAGGTCTTGTATATTAAAACTTGACGGAAAGAAAAAAGGAAGAGTATTATCATTAATTAGGTGACTTAGCAGTAGCAATAAAGTTAGACATATACTGCTTCATACTGTTTTGCAATCCTCTCTAAGTGGTTTACAGAATCAGCATATTACCCCCAACAATTTGGGCCCTCATTTTACCAACCTTGGAAGGATGGAAGGCTGAATCAACCTTGAGCTAGTGAGAATCGAACTGCTGGCTGTCGGCAGAATTAGCCTGCAATACTGCATTCTAACTACTGTGCCACCACAACTTACCCGGTACTTGCATTGTTGCTGGAGCAACCCCTGGAGCTTGTGGTTCTGTTGTTGGTTTTGGTGCTGGCTGAGCCGTTAAAGGGGCTGCTGCAGGAGGAACAGTGGGACCTGCTGAATTTTTTTTTAAAATATAGACATCAGGAACGCAAGGAAAAACAACAACCCACAAAGAAACAAAAAAGAAAAGATGTTATATGTAATTATCTGATAAAGGGTATTTACCAGGAGCCTGGGGACTGACTGCTGCTGCTGGTTGTGGAGCTGTTTGAGGTTTTCATTTCCAAGGAGATTTGCCATAAGAAATTATACAAGAAAAAAAAACATTAGGTCTTGTATATTGAAGCTTGAAAAAAAAGGGGGGGGGAGCAGAAATAATGATACTGAGTTTGTATTTTGCTTTTCAATATTTCTGCAGTAAGACTGTAACATTCAGTCAATTTGGAATGCAAAAATCCCCATCCCACCTTGCAGTTTAACTTCCTGTTGAGGCCAAGATAGTTCTAGAGTGGACTTCTTGTCTGCAGACTGATCACTTACAAGTTGGGCAGGAACTTTTGCATCTCTCACAATAATTGCATTTGAGAAATTGCAAGTGGTTGGAGCATGCAGAACTTATAAATTGCGTCCCAAACCTCAAATAAATAATGGCCCAAAGTACTCATTAAACAGTATGTAAGGTGTGATCCTCATCAGCCCACACGCAATCCCACCCAGCATCACAAAGTTATGCTCCTGAAATGTATTGGCAAATAGACAATTTAATTGATACAATTTTTTTTTAAAAAAATGTAATTCGGAACAGACATGGTGGAAAGAAATCAATTTCAGCCAATTTCATGGCATATTTTGAATAGAGACTGAGGGTTATCAATTACTAGGATGCCTCTGGGAAACCGCCTGTCTCCATCTCATTCTTAAATCTCACGAAACTCTCTTGAAGGCTGCAAATTTGCCTGACAGTGGTGTTTTGGGAGAATTTGGAGTCAAGGTTGGTAGTGAAAGTAGGACTGGGAATGATTTTCATCTCAGAAGTTACCTATTTCTATTTCACTCTTAACCTCCTCCACAAAATAAATGAAAATGTTCTAGTAGCATCATCGATCATCTTATGGCTTACTGAGACCCAACAGAAGGTTAATAGGCTGAAATGAGACCTACAATCCAGTGAATGTTGCCCTTCCAGTCTTATCGGTCTGATGTGTTCCCAGGAGCTACCAACCAACACTATCTAGGTTCCTCCTAGAAATTCTGTTTTCAATGGAAATTATTTCCTGAGATCAAAATATCATCACCAGAAGTTCTTCAAACTATCAGCTGGATTGTCAGCTGACATCAAGGAAACTGCAGAAAAGTCAGCATGCATTAAGGGATTTGTGCCATTAAGGGCAGCTAGAGTGACCCTGAAGAGCAATCTAAATTTTATCTTGGTTTTACCAGGCGTTTCTGGTTTCTTGTCCTTTTCAGCTTGGGCAGCCACTGCTTGTTTTGCTGATGCTGCTGGTGCAGTTGCTGAAGGTTGTGGTGCTGTGGTCGGTTTTGGTGTTGGTTCAGTTGTTAAAGGGGCTGCTGCAGGAGGAATGGCGGGAGCTGTTTGATAGATGATAGATAGATAAATAGATAGATAGATAGATAGATAGATAGATAGATAGATAGATAGATAGAGTTAGAATAAAAACATATGTAAAAATACCAACCCATAAAAGAAAAAAAAAACCAAGGAAAGATATTATCTTCATTTAAGGAGAGAGAGAGAGAGATTAAAAAAGCATAACAATAAGAACCCCAAAAGAAAACACAAGAAAAAGTGTAATCTGTCATGGTTCCGATGCTAAGACCAACAAAATCAGAACTCGGAGGATAAAGGTTTCCTCAAAGAACATGTTTATTGGTTACAAAATATCGGCATGGTCAAAAGTGAAACCAAGTCTGAAATTCCCTCCAAAGCATTATACTATTACAAAGTCAAACTTCCCACCCTAGTGCTATGCAATCATCTACGTTCCCCAATAGAATAATTTGGCGGGCTTTCTAACAAAACGCCCAACCCTCTAAGCTAACTGATAGAATGACCTTGGTTCCCACGGGACCCAGAATTGTTTAGACTTTCTTGTGGCAACCTAGAATGAGCAAGATGGCTTCAGCCAGGTTCATTGTAGAGTTGACATAATCTTTAATTAAGTAATAAGGACTGACTTACCCGGCGCTTGCTTTGTTGCTGGTGCACCTGCTGGAGCTTGTGGTTCTGTTGTCGGTTTTGCTGCTGGCTGAGTTGTTAAAGGGGCTGCCACAGGAGGAATGGTGGGACCTGCTGAATTTTTTTTTTAAAAAATATAGACATTAAAAACACAAAGAAAAATGACAACCCACAAAGAAACAAAAAGAAAAGATGTTATCTTTAATTAACTGATAAGGGATGACTTACCAGGAGCCTGGGGACTGGTTGCTGTTGCTGGTTGTGGAGCTGTTTGAGGTTTTCATTTCCAAGGGAATTTGCCAGAAGAAATAATATAAGAAAAAAAAAATTAGGACTTGTATATTCAAGCTTGAAAAGAAAGGGGGGAAATAAGCAGAAATAATGATACTGAGCTTATATTTTGCTTTTCAAGATTTCTGTAGTAAGACTGAAAAATTCAGTCAATTTGGAATGCGAAAATCCCCATCCCAAACAATTTCAAAACAAGGAAAAGTGTTATTTTCAATTAAGTAATAAGGGATGATTTACTAAGAGTCTTGGGGCTGTTTTTCAACTGTTTCAGGGGTTTTTTTTCAAGAGATTTTGCCAAATTTTATTGTTACAAGAAGAAATATTAAGCCATGCATATTGAAATCTAATAGGAAAGAGAACAAAGCAAAATCTTTTCAAGGTTTTTGTAATAAGACTGAAAATCTTCGCTTTTCAGAATGAAATGGACAGTATATAAATTTAATGTAAATAAATTAAGACAATTTGGAAGGTCTGAAACCTCTTATCACCTTGAGCTTTACTCTCTGGTTGAGGCTGAGATGGTGCTGGAATGGGCTTCTTGTCTGCAGGCTGATCACTTACAGCTTGGGGAGGGCCTTTTGCACTCACAGTAGCTGAAAATGAGACATTGAAAATGGTTTGAGCATGCAGAACTTAAAAATTATTCATAAAACAATCTGTAAGTGTGGTCGCCATCACTTCATGTGCAGTCCAATCCAACACCACAAAGTTAGTCTCCTGAAATGTGTTGGCAAATAGACAATTGTGTTGATTTGATTTTTTTTAAAAAAAATAATTCAGAATATGCATGCCAGAAGGAAACAAATTTCAGCCCATTTCATGATATATTTGGGAAGAGAAACTGAGGAATAACAGCAACTAGGATATCTCTGGGAAAGAGCTTGTCTCCGTTCCATACTTAATAGCAGTAGCAATAACACTTTGATTTATATGTCACTCCATAGTACCTTACAGCAGGGGTCCCCAGCCCCCGTTCCGTGGACCAGTACCGGGCTGCAGCATGTCAGCAACTGGTCTACACAAACAAGCAAAGCTCCATCCACAGGATGCAGGCAGCACACAAAACCACACACCCTCCAGTCTGTGGAAAAACTTCTCTCTACGGAACCGGTCCCTAGTGCCCAAAAGGTTGGAGATCTCTGTTTTACAGCACTCTCTGACTGGTTTATAATGTCAGCCTATTGCTTCCAACATTTTGGGTCCTCATTTTGCTGACCTCAAAAGGATGGAAGGCTGAGTCAACCTTGAGCTGGTCAGGATTGAACTCCTGGCTGTGGTCAGAGTTTGCCTGCAATACCGCATTCTAACCACTGCACCACCAGGACTCCTTAAGTCTCACAAAACTCTCTTAAAGGTGTTAGACCTGCTTGAAAGTGGTGTTTTGGGAGCTTTTGAAATGGAGACTGTAGGACTGGGTTTTTTTTTATCCCAGGTGTCCCCTATGCCTTTTTTCACTCGTAACCACCCCCACAAAACAATTGAAAATGTTCACTCCAAACTTTTCTTGTGGCATCACCACATGATCAGATGGGACCATCCAGAAAACATACAGATTGAATTGAGACTCACAAACCAGAAAATGTTGCCTATATTTTTGTATGGGTGTGAAATGTTTTCCTGAGATCACAGGCAACGTTGTTTAAGTCCCCCATATATAAAAACAACTTCCGCTGTGCTTCTACATTTTTTTAAGCAATGTAGAGGGCTGACACTCAAATATCCTCCTCAGATGTTCTTTGAGTTATAGGCTAGGATGTCAGCCAAGATCAAAGGAAAAACAGAATAGTTAATCCATGTTAATGTATAGCCACCCTTATGTTATTAATGGTATCCAGAATGCCCCTGGCAAGCAATTTGAATTTCATCTTGGTTTTACCAGGAGTTTCTGGTTTCTTGTCCTTTGCAGCTTGGGCATCCACTACTGGCTTTGCTGCTGGTGTGACCCCTGGAGCTTGTGGTTCTGTTGTTGGTTTTGGTGTTGGTTCAGTCGTTAAAGGAGCTGTCACAGGAGGAATGGTGGGACCTGAATTTTTTTTTAAAAAAAAATGACATTAAAAACACAACAAAAAACAACAACTCGCCAAAAAAAAGGAAATATGTTATATCTAATTAACTGATATGAGGTTATTTACAAGGAGCCTGGGGACTGACTGCTGTCACAGGTTGAGGAGCTGTTTGAGGTTTTCGTTTCCATGGGAATTTACCAGAAGAAATAATACAAGGAAAAAAAAAAGAGTAGAACTTGCAGGTTGAAACTTGAAAAGAGAGGTAAACATAAGAAATGTAATGATCCTGAAATTGCATTCTGCCTTTCAAGATATCTGTAGTAAGACTGAAAATTCAGAGAATTTGGAATATCAGAATCCCCATCTCAGCTTGCACTTTAATTCCCTGTTAAGGCTGAGATGGGTCTGGAGTGGACGTCTTACCTTCTGGATGATCAATTATAAGTTGGGGAGGGACTGAGGGGGGCCTTGGTGCTCTCTGAGTTTGATTGTTTTCTTGTAGACGTTTCATTGCCAAACTAGGTAACTTCATCAGTGCTAGTAAGGGGATAGGGTTTGCTTTCATTTTATATCCTAGTGCAGGGGTGTCAAACTGCCGGCCCATGGGCCAGTTGCATCATATAGGGCCGTGCCCACCCCAGCTCCAGCAATGCAAAAAAAGTTGCAATATGTCACGACACGCAGCAAGTTTGACACCCATGTCCTATTGCTCATCCTAGTGGAAATGTTCTTGTAGGTTCTTTGGTTGGGCTGTTTACTGATAACTTGGGGTGGTTCTTCTTCTTCTCCAAAGACCCCTCATTTCAACCCTCAGCTAGAAATATTCTCCTTTATGGGGAGGGACTTTTTCACACGAATATGCAATTCACATGAAACATGGGTTCCTTTTTATTTTACATATCAAATGGTGAAATTATAACAGTAGACTTCCTCATTAATAAATACATTAGGGAAGGAAATTTTTGTTTCATCCATACTGAGAAGATCTTAGAGGGATATAAAGGCTATTTTAGCTCTCCTTTCCTTTAGGAATTCTCTATATGTTGATCACTTATCGTGCTGTGTCCCATTCTTGCTTCTAAATGGTTTTAACATTGAATTGTTTTCTTCTGGGATTGTGTTTCCCCTTGGGTTTCTGGCATTGACACAATAGCCAATGAATAAATTGTGTCTGCGCACAGTAGAAGCCTCACATGGTTCTGCTATTTTCTCTGGATCACTGGGCCAAAAAACTAGTCACAATTTCCCTAAATCATGGGCTATATTTTGCTAAGTTATTTGCCCACTTATAGTTCTAAAAATATTTTTTACCAACAAATGACTAATAGTAAAAAAATATCTGATCTGCTAGAATGCCTACATTGTGACAATTTTCTTTTTTTCTTTTTTAACTTTTACCAGGTTTTTCCAGTTCCTTTGATGTTGGAAGGTCCACAACCTGTTTTGTTGCTGTTTTAGCATCTTGTGGTTTTTTACCTTCTGTTGGTGCTGGTTCGGTTTTGGAAGGGCCTGCCTCAAAAGTAACAGCTCGGACTGGAATTTGGGGAGAAACAAAATACACATAATTTATATATGCCCCAATATATTTATTTTCTGGGAAAGCTGGCTAGAACTCGGTAACATATAGTCCGCTGAAAAACGTGTTTAACAACTTTGAACAAAAACCAAAGAAAACCTAACATGCATCTATATAAACCTTAATAAAGAATAATCTTCCCCAGGAACACGCTGTTTTTACTTTAACACTGGATGAGTCTGGAGTGGAGGATCTGGTGTTCTAGTTATACTTTTTTCTTTTAGAAAGTTCAGTAGAAGTTACATCTAAGGAAGTATAGTGCACAAAAGGTTCATCTGCAAATTAACTGACATTTATTATTTTGCATTGGGATGAACAAGGTTTTGGGGACAAAGGATACAGCACGGTTTCAAATAATATGCTGAACAAAAATGCTTTCATGCTGTGATTGGTCAGGACAAACTTTTTAAACGTTTTTAAAAAGTTGACTCATATTTCAACATAGTTAGTTGAGGACATTTACAGATAGAGGTGATCCTTGACTTACAAACACAATTGAAACCAGAATTTCCATTGCTGACTGAGCAAGAAGTTCTTAACTGACTCACGCCTGATTTTATGACTTTTTCTTGCCATAGTTATTAAATGAACCACTGCACAATTGTTAAATGAATCATATAGTCGTAAACAAATCCAGCTTCCTCCTATTGACTTTGCATGTTGGAAACCAGCTGGGAAAGTTGCAAATGGTTGTCACAGGATCACATGACAAATGTATGTATGACAAATACATGCCCATTGCCAAATACTGGAATTTTGATCACATGACCATAGGAAGACTGCAATGGTTGTAAGTGCAAGGACTGGTCAAAAATCATAACTCATGGTCGCTAAACTAATGGCTGTGTATCAGTTTGCCACAATTTGCCATATGATATAAAATTTATAGTTTGGCACCTGATGTTGGAGGGGGCATGGAAGCATGGAAGACTGCTTCTGGGAGCCATATGTGGCTCAAGAGCTTATCACTCTAGAGAAGCGTATCTAGAGTGACCCTGAAGAGTAACTTGAGTTTTATCTTGGTTTTACCAGGCGTTTCGGGTTTCTTGTCCTTTGCAGCTTGGGCATCCACTACTTGCTTTGCTGGTGCTGCTGGTGCAGTCGCTGAAGGCTGTGGTTCTGTTGTTGGTTTTGGTGTTGGTTGAGTTGTTAAAGGAGCCGCCGCAGGAGGAACGGTGGGGGCTGCTTGATAGATAGATAGATGATAGATAGATAGATAGATAGATAGATAGATAGATAGATAGATACATAATGATGATAGATAGATACATACATACATAATGATGATGATGATAGATAGATAGATAGATAGATAGATAATGATGATGATAGATGATAGATAGATGATAGATAGATAATGATGATGATAGATAGATGATAGGTAAATAGATAATAAATGATGATGATAGATGATAGATAGATAATGATAATGATAGATAGATAGATGATAGATAAATAGATAATAAATAGATGATGATGATAGATGATAGATAGATGATAGATAGATGATGATGATAGATAGATAATGATGATGATAGATGATACATAAATAGATAATAAATAGATAGATAGATAGATAATGATGATGATAGATGATGATAGATAAATGATAGATAGATGATAGATGATAGATAGATAGATAGATAGAATTAGAATAAAAACATATGAAAAATAACAAACCACAAAAGAAAAAGAAACAAGGAAAGGTATTATCTTCATTTAAGCAATAATGGGAGACTTACCTGGTGCTTCCTTTGATGTGGGTGCAACCCCTGGAGCTTGTGGTTCTGTTGTCGGTTTTGGTGCTGGCTGAGTTGTTAAAGGGGCTGCCCCAGGAGGAATGGTGGGGGCTGCTAGATAGATAGATAGGTAGGTAGGTAGGTAGGTAGGTAGGTAGGTAGGTAGGTAGATAGATAGATAGATAGATAGATAGATAGATAATGATGATGATGATGATAGATAGATAGATAGATAGATAGATAGATGATGATAGATAAATAGATGACAATAGATAGATAGATATAGTTAGAATAAAAACATACGTAAAAATAACAACCCACAAAAGAAAAAAACAAGGAAAGGTATTATCATCATTTAAGCAATAATGGGAGATTTACCGGGTGCTTCCTTTGATGTAGGTGCAACCCCTGGAGCTTGTGGTTCTGTTGTTGGTTTTGGTGCTGGCTGAGTCGTTAAAGGGGCTGCCGCAGGAGGAACGGTGGGACCTGCTGAATGGTTTTTATAAAATATAGACACTAAAAACAAAAAGACTAACCATAATCCACAAAAAAAACAAAAAGGAAAGATGTTATCTGTAATTAACTGATAAGGGGTGACTTACCAGGAGCCTGGGGACTGACTGCTGCTGGTGGTTGTGGAGCTGTTTGAGGTTTTCATTTCCAAGGGAATTTGCCAGAAGAAATAATACAAGAAAAAAATATTACAACTTGTATATTAAAACATGGCAGAAATAACAAACAAGGAAAGGTGTTATCTTCAATTAAGTAAGAAAAAGTGACTTACCTGGTACTTGTGTTGCTGCTGGAGCAACCCCTGGAGCTTGTGGTTCTGTTGTCGGTTTGGGTGCTGGCTGAGTCGTTAAAGGGGCCGCCGCAGGAGGAACAGTGGGACCTGCTGAATGGTTTTTATAAAACATAAACACTAAAAGCATAAAGAAAGACAACAACCCACAAAGAAAAAAAGAAGGAAAAATGATATCTCTGAATGATAAAGGGATATTTACCAGGAGCCTGGGGACTGCTGATTGTTGCTGGTTGTTGAGCTGATTGAGGTTTTCATTTCAAAGGCAATTTGTCAGAAGAAATAATGGAAGAAGAAAAAAAATATAAGGATGATAGAGGTACAGTATATAAATAAATAAAAAAATAGAGAGAGAGCCAGTTTGGTTTAGTGGTTTGGGTATCAGACTGGAAAGTGGGAGATGCTGAGTTCAAGTCATGTCTTAGCCATCAAACCACTGGTTGACTTTGGGCCAATCCCTCTCTCTTTCAGGACTGTTGTTGCAGGGAAAGTTAGGATGAAGAAGGTATATTGGGTATGTTCCCCATCTTGAATTATTTGTAAAAATAATACAGAGCTGATGCAAAAAATAAATAAATAAAAATAATATTTTTAAATAAATAAATAGATCATCATCATCATTTTAGCCATTGTCTATCCACTGCAGGATGAAGGCCTCTTCCTTATGTTTCCAACCAATACGTTCCTGAGCTATATACATACATACATGCATAAATATACATACATATGTATTCAAAATTTTGTGGCTGACAAAGTGTTAAATGGGAGACTAGTATAGCTATTTCAAGCTCTTTAGCTCTCATCAGCTAGTCTTACCCTTCTGGGATAACACATAGTTATACATATGTATATATACATACAAGGAAAAGTAATGAATCTGAAATTATATTCTGCCTTTCAAAGTTTGCGTAGTAAAACTAAAAAAATCAGACAATTTGGAATGTCAAAATTCTCATCCCACCTTGTACTTTAACTTCCGGTTGAGGCTGAGATGGTTGTGGAGTGGACTTCTGGTCTACAGGTAGATCACTTCCAGGTTGAGGAGGGACTTTTGCATCACTCACAATATCTGTAGATGAGAAATTCCAAGCAGTGTGAGTAAACAGGGCTTGTGAACAATTTATATTACAAGCAGGAACCATGAGACAATAGCCCAACGTATTCATTTTTCCAGTAAGCAATTCATGCAAAACCAAGTCCCTCTTTTATTGTATATATCAGCTGATAAAATTATAACGGTACAATTCCTTATTAAGAGATTTGGCATGGGTGGAAATTTTTCTTTGACGTATCCTAAAAAAGTTCTCAGACTGGGTGAACGGATGTCTGGCAAAAGGAGGATGTGTCCTCTTCATTATCCTGATGATGTCCATCTGGAAAGCATAGCCTTAAAATCAAACACTGTCCAGCTTTGTAAGTATCTCTTTCTGAGTGGCTTTTCTCCACGGCACACTGCCTCCTAAAGAAGTACTAATGGAACCTCAAGTTAACAAGCTCTGCTCTGATCTTGATTAGTACTCTCTCTCCAGCTTGCACTGATGCCTGAAATTGACAAGACCTTAATCAGTTACAGGGCTGAAGGCTTTTGCCCCTTAACTGGTTCTGACACCTTCCTGTAATTGAAAATCTTTCTCATGCTGGAAAAAGTAATTTCATATAGGCCCATTCTTGTAGACTCAAGTACTACCAACACCACCACCTCCTCCTTCTCCTCCTCCTCCTAGTTTTACATTATAATTTTTATTGCAGGTTCCAAGAAAATCAAATAGTGTGTCCTCCTTCCCTTCCCCACCCCATTTGTCCTGTTTTCCAAATGTCCATGCCCTCCTTTGCTGGGTTCAGAAACCTGATAATCTGATTCTCAAAACCAGGGAACTCCAAACTTGGTAATTTTAAAACTTGTGAATTTCATCTGCCAGAATTCCTTAGCCAGCCATTCTATATACATAGATTTCAGTATAGATTTGACTTACGGTCACAACTGAGCCCAAAATTTCTGTTGCCAAGTAAGGCATTTGTTCAGTGAATTTTACCCCATTTTACTATCTCTTTTGCCACACTTGTTAAATGAATCACTGAAGTTGTTAATAACACACTTGTTAAGTGAGTCTGACTTTGTCAGAAGGTTGCAAAAGGGGATCACATGACCTTGGATAGGACTCAGTTGCCAAGACTCTGAATTTTGATCACGTGACCATGGGGATTCTGCAATGGTCGTAAGTGTGAAAAACGGTCATAAGTCACTTTTTTCGGTGCCGTTGCAATTTTGAAAGGTCACTAAATGAACTGTTGTAATTTGTACTCAGGCATTTCTTTCCTGTTTGCTTGTTTTGCAGATATACACATCTAGCCTATTGTGGATGTTGGAGACCTTGTGTGGACTTGCCTGACACTACCTAAGTATCCTCCTTGCTTAAGTTATTTGTATTTCCAGATGTGTTTCTCCTCTAACATCTGGACCACTTGCTGTGTGATAGACCCAAAAAAACTAGTCACAAGTTGCTTTACGGGTGGTATTTTGCCAATACGTTAACCCACATACATTTTTTCACTAACAAAAGATTGATAGTAAAAAATCTCTGGCCAACTAGAATGCCCACATTGTGACAATTTACCATTCTTCTAGTTTTACCATGTTTTTTGGGCTCTTTTGTCTTTGATGTTGGATTGTTTTGTTGTTGTTTTAGCATATGAAGATAGTGGTGGGCCTGGGAGTTAGGGAAAAAAACCCAAACCATATATTTACATAATCCAGTTTGATTTACTGGTTAAGGCATCAGACTAGAAGTCAGGAGACTGTGAGTTTATTTATTTAAAATATTTATATAGCTACCTGCCATGTACCAAATCCTGAGTGGATCCCAATCAAGAATGAAAACAATATAAACACCATATAAAAATTACTCTTTATTCTAGTTATGCCTTAGGCATGAGCTGGTTCAGTGGCTTTGAGTGAATCAGTTTTTCTCAGCCCATGACATCAGCTTGGGCAACAAGCTAGTCAGTCAATTCCTGTTGCAACCCATGGATCAACACTTGACTGAGCCAAAAAATCAAATTTTTCCACTTGTGGAAAAATGCTAGGAAGAAAAAAAAATCATATCTCTATTTTCTAGAAAGTTTGCTGTAATAAGGTCAATTGGAAAAAAAAATACTTAACAAATCTGGAAGAAACCTAAAGAAAACAATACCATTAACTGATTGTTTATACTGGTCTTAAGGAAGCCTTAATATTTTCAAGACTACTAATCTTGGAAGATTCTGGAGTAGGGTCTACTGTATTGGTTCCACTTTTTTTCTTTAAAAAAATCAACAGAGCTTACAGGATATCTGAATAAGAATATAACAATTTGGTCTGCAAATTAGCCAGCATTTATTAATACTGGTTAACGTTAGCTTGTGATTGATCTGGACAAATTAATTTTTAAAGAACTGATTCACATTTCAGTATAATTAGTCAATTACACTATTATTACTCATTTCATAATTTGCCGTTATTTGAACTTATATTTTGGCAACTAATAATGCTGCAGAAGGTGAGGTAGTCACATTTTGATAATTTATCATTTCCTTTGTTGTACCAGGTTTTTCCTTTGTCTCAGAGGTTGGAACGGCCTCAGGTTGTTTTGATGTTGCTTTAGCATCTGTAGGTGGTTGAGATGCACCCTCTTTTGGTGCTGGTTCAGTTTTTGATTGGCCTGTTTCAACAGGAGCAGCAGGATCTGGAATTTTGGGGGGGGGAAATAAATAGAAAATACCTCTTACAGAAATTCATGCATTTTTGTTTCTGTGAAAGCTCTCAATGGTGAGACGGGTGGAGTATAAATTTAACAAACAAATAAAGCTTGCTAAATCCCTTAATCCCACTGAAAAGATTGTTTAACAAATTCTGAGGCTAAAACAGAACTCTAAAATATTGACTGTGTGTGTGTGTATGCATGTGGGCCTCAAAGGACAGATACTAAGTGTTTATATTATTAGGAAAAAAACAACTACATAAAAAAAAGGATATATTACCCTTGTTTTTAGCATTGGAGGACCCTGGAGTTGAGGTCTGCTTTGCTGTATTCTTTTTTGAAAACATTTACAGCGACTGCAAATGAATATAGATGAGAAAATTGTTATGTTCTGCACACAAAATGATATCAATTGCTAGGTTCTGTTCAGACTGTCACGCACTGTGACCTGGAGAAATGCCAGAGAAAACAATTGTTTTGTCATTCTATGACATCAAGGGAAATGGAACCATCAACATTTCTTGACGGTTACATCTGGATTCAAGAGTTTCTGAGTTTTCTGCAGTGCAGAGCAAAATTTATGGAAAGTTCTGAAGAGGAGTGACTATAGCTTGGATGTGCTATTGTCATTTGCAACCTTTTCAAAGATTTGTGCCTCTTTAAAAATTTTGCATAACTTATATGCATTTAATTCAATAAACTGAGATGTATGTACATCTAATTATTTTTTTTAAATGTCAGGCGACAGATTAGTTGATATATGATAGATAGATGGATGGATGGATGGATGGATGGATGGATGGATGGATGGATAGATGGATGGACAGACGGACAGACAGACAATTTTGAACTGGGATAGGGAACTTTTTGATACTGAAAAGAGGCCCTTGGACTTCAAACAATACTCTGGACATCATGCTTCAATGTTTTGGATTAGAACAAGTTCTTTTTAATGGATTCACATCCAAATTTAATTAGTTAAGGGCAGTTAACTAATTTCATAATTTTTCCCATCAGGTTAAAACGTTATAATACCTGTATTGCTAGTGCTGTGACAGTTACACCAGAACTTCTCTGGGGTGCATGTGACTCTGGAGCCACAGAGTGTATCATTCTATTGTGTATTAAAATAATCTAATAAATTTTTGATTCATCATGCATGTGAGATACCTATCAATGATGTTGTAGTCATAGTCACAAAACCATGTGACAAACTTTTGGGCATCATTCATGTTCCCTCTATAGCTCTTGATAGAGTAGCACAATGGTCTTCAAACATGGCCCTTTTATGAGTTGTGGACTTCAAATCCCAGAATCCCTCAGCTAGCCAGGCTGGCTGAGGAATTCTGGGAGTTGAAGTCCACAAGTTCATAAAAGAGCCAAGTTTGAAGATCCCTGGGGTAGCATGTTTCCTGAACAAGGTAATGCTTAATCTTCTTAAAACCTCAGGTGTTGATCATTGTAATTTCTTAGACTATATAATTTGTATTATGTGGGCTAGCTTTGAAGAAACTACATCTGGCATAGGCACAGAGGTATGTCTGCTGATGGGAGTTAAGCAGTATGGCAGTTGTACCATTTCCTGGATTATGAAACTGTGAGGATCATATTTTGGTTATCTCTCAGTTAGACTGAGCATTTAAACGTATTCCAGATCCCATATTTTGGATCATAGCAACAGCCAATCTGATTGACTTACTGCAATCTATTTCATAGTCTTTTCAATTTTCCTAATGCATACTAGTAGAATGGTTTGTCTTCAGAAGTTGTGGGCGCTCCATTACTGGAAGTTTTTAAGAAGAGATTGGACAGCCATTTGCCCAGAATGGTTTAGGGTCTCCTGCCTGAGCAAAGGGTTGGACTAGAAGACCTCCAAGGTCCCTTCCAACTTTGTTATTCTGTAAGTTGTAATCTGTTATTTTATGGGAACCTTTTGCACTGAAACAAAAATCTTTCTAAGAGAGTATTAGATAGCTTTGCATTCAACATATATTGATTTACAGGTAAAAAGAGGAGTGTGCCATTGTTCGTTTAATTAGATGGAGAATTAATATGATATGAAAACCAAAAACAATTCCCAATTAGCTTGCTCAAAGGAGTGGAGATGGCTTTAGCTTCTATTCTATATAAATTTTGATACAAGCTGACATACATTTTTGGCCCTGTCACATCTTATATGTTTTCTTTGACAGTGTTTCTGAATCTCATCAACCTCAGAGATAACTCGTGGTTATGAGTTCCCCTATCTCATATATTTAATTGGTTAATTCCTCAAGTTTAGGAGAGGAAAAAACTATAATTATGAATTGATCTTCTTTAACATTGAATACAACATCCAAGAGTTGTATACTATGCTATGCTCTGCTCTACATTACTAAATACAATGCACTGCAAAACAACACAAATTACAATCTTAATTGAAAAAAAGATTGCAGAAAAGGTTGACATTTCTGGCAAGTACATATCTTAAAATATATGGGTAAACCAGATACACTAATACTCTCCCCCCCCCCCGTTGTTGCCACTCCAAATTATAAGAATATGATATTTGTTTTGTCATATAGTAAGGCCTTTATACCTCCCCATAGTTAATTATGCTCGGTATAAGAGTACAGTGGAAGCAATACTATGTGATAAAGATGAGAAAGGAAATTATCTGTTTTGTCAAATACATTTCTTGATGCTTGATTTTGAAAGAAGAAAAAAAAACATTTCTCACTGTCAGTGAGAATGCAAGGAGAGTGCCCAAAATTAGCAGTTTGAATTAAGGCAGGGAAAATAAAGGAATACATTTCTTTCTATAGTGTGATGGAGAAAAAAATCCTGGGACACCCCCAGCATCCTTCTCTCTTCTCAGTTACTGAGTGACGAGGTTCAGGACTGTTTCCCTACTCCATCAGGATACTGTTTAAAGTCTCCTAGAAACCTTTATTCCAGGGGTTCTCAATCTTTCTAATGCCGCGACCCCATAATACAGTTCTCCATGTTGTGGTGATCCCCAACCACTTATACATCACCGGGTGCCAGGGGCGTGGCCAAAGAAAAGGGGAAAAAATGGCGGACAGCCTTGTTTGGCGATCCCCGTGAAATGGTCATTCGACCCCAAATGGGGTCCTGACCCACAGGTTGAGAACCACTGCTTTATTCAATGCCTGCCAAGTTTGGGTCAAGCATACAAAAAACACTGTTCCTTGGGTGAAACACTGAATACCTTCCAAACAAGCTTTTACGGTTATTTTCACAAAAAGAGTTGCAGGTAGTATGTTCATGTTGGCTGCTTCTACACAAATTATTCTGTATTTCATCATGTCCAATTGGAAGTTTTCTGGTCTTGTGCACGTGTAATGAAGTGTCTAGATCACGATCATGTGAAATATTAATACCGTTTTATAAAACTTTAGTAAGCGCACATCTAGATATTGCATCTAGTTTTGGTTGTCACATTATAAAAAAGATGTTGAGACACTGGAAAGCGTGCAGAAAAGAGCAACTCAAATGATTAAGGGCCTGGAGACTAAAACATATGAAGAATGGTTGCAGGAATTGGGTATGTCTAGTCAAGTGAAAAGAAGGACTAGGGGTGACATGATAGCAGTGTTTCAATATTTGAGGGGCTCCTGCAAAGATGAGGGAGTCAAGCTATTCTCCAAAGCACCTGAAGGCAGGACAGGAAGCAATGGATGGAAACTAATCAACCTAAAACAAAGGAGAGATTTCCTAACAGTGAACAATTAACCAGTGGAATGGCTTGCCTTCAGAAGTTGTGGATGTTTCATCACTGGAGGCTTTTAAGAAGAGATTAGACAACCATTTGTCTGAAATAGTATTAGGCCTCCTGCCTGAGCAGGGGGTTGGATTAGAAGACCTCCAAGGTCCCTTCCAACTCTTTTATTCTGTGTTCTCTGTTCTGCCTCTAATGTTTCAGCAACATGCATTGGATAAGGACATTTTGCAAATATAGAGGTCCTTTCAGATATAATAATAATAATAATAATAATAATAATAATAATAATAATAATAATAACCCCCAGTGAGGCACTACCTTGACGTGGTTGTGGGGCTTGTGTACTCTGAGGAAGATGAGAGCTATGCCAGAGGTTCAACCATACTGGACAGGTCTCATCAGAGGAGTCAGACAAAGAGTGTCTCTCCCATAAAAAATATGGTGAGACGTAAATTTCAGAATGCCATACCGGCTCGGACGTCGCCCGGGTTAACAAGGTCCGCACTAGATATTGGAGTTCCTGGATATCTGGTGAAAAATGGGTTACAGGACTCAGGACTGTTGGCTGAGCAACCAGGGCCAGCAGCTGCAGAACTACTGGAAGAAAAGGTGTTTACCCGTCGCAGATACACAGTGATGGAAAACAAAGAAATAATGATCTGTTACTACAGATCAAGTCCAACAAGACGAGGATATCTAAAACGAATGCACCAATTCTGGAAAGAACAACATCCAGAATCAGAAATAACAGAACAGAGACTAGCAGATCAACGCCGATTTATAACACGAAATAAAGTATTTACAGAAACAGAATTAGACGAACTGCAAAGGTTTACCCAGGGCAAAGAAATCAAAGCCTTACAAGAAGTAATTCAGAATGTAGAGGCAAACCAGGGGGAGTTGGCAGTGAAAGAATCCAGTAGAGATATACAACTGTTCTCATTTGGAAACCAGGCACCTCTTCCTCAGGAAGAACAAAACCCTCTAACTAAAGAAATAAAAGAATTGAAACAAAGAATAATTGAGCATCTAGAACAGCACAAAAACAACAGAATAAGGCTGCCTGCATTGAAGCTTGTTCCAAAGAAACAGCTAGCACAAGCATTAAAAGATGCAAATACTGCAATAGCAAGTATAAGCACCAATTCACTGCAAGAAACAAACCAACTAATGTACAGCACAGCTGCAGTTATAACAGAATACCTGGGATGTAAAATCAACAAAAAAGAAAAACAAACAAACAGTGCACCAGAAAAATGGAAGGTTAGACTAGAAAATAAGATCAGCAAGTTAAGATCACATGCAAGCAAGCTAGAACAGATGAAAGAAAAGAAGCTGAAGAACAAGAAGACCAAAGAATACCTAATCAAGAAATACCACTTAGAAACAAGGAAGATCAAGGAAGCACTGGAAATAATAAAGCAACAAATAACAGCTATAGCCAGGAAAATCAGTAGATATGAAGCTCGAATTGCAAACTATAGGCAGAACCTCCAATTTCAATCCAATCAGAAACGTTTCTACCAATCCATCAATGGAGAAACTGCAAGGAATCAGTCAGTACCTGACAAGGAAGAAACAGTGCAATTCTGGAAGCAGATATGGGATAACCCAAAGAAATACAACAAGGATGCAGCTTGGTTAAAAGAAGTGGATGCAAATAAAACAGAAGTTGAAATGAAAGAACTAG